AGCTTATAACCTTTAAGCACTAGATGTCCCGTTGCTGGTTACATTTGATCCTGCCTAGGAACAAGTTCAAAATTTGTTGTGAGGTTTTAATATGTCACTCAAAACAATTCAAGGGTGTGAGAACAGTTTTGGTCTAGAGCAGGGAAAGAGCCTACTTGAAGATAAAGTGTTACTGTTAATTGGCTCCATGCTGTTGAGCACTTGAGACTTGGAATTCCTGGGGCATTTTTCAGCATTTTTAGGGAAGGTGATGGCCTAGTAGTATTATTGCTAGATTATTAATCCAAAAACTCAGCTAATGTTCTGGGGACCCAGGTTCGAATCCCACCATGGCAGTTGGTGGAATTTGAATTCAATTAAAAAAACTGGAATTAAGAATCTACTGATGGCCATGAAATCATTATCGACTGTTGGAAAAACCCATCTCATTCACTAATCCCCTTCAGGGAAAGAAATCTACCATCCTCATCTGGTCTGGCCTCCATGTGACTCTAGACCCACAGCAATGTGGTTGACTCTCAACTGCCCTCTGAAATTGCCTAGCAAGCAATTCAGTTGTACCAATTGTTACAAAGTCTCAAAGAAATGAAACTGGACGGATCAACTGCATTGACCTAGGCGCTGGAAAAGACAAGGGTAGAAACAGTCCTGTTGACCCTGCAAAGTCCTCCTTACTAATATCTGGGGCCTAGTGCCAAAATTGGGAGAGCTATCTCACAGATTAGTCAAGCAACAGCCTGACACAGTCATACTCAAGGAATCATACCTTACAGACAACATCCCAGTTATCACCATCATTGTCCCCAGATTTGTCCTGTCCCACGGGCGGGATGGATCCGGCAGAGGTGGTGGCACAGTGGTATACAGTTGGGAAGGAGTTGTCCTGGGAGTCCTCAACATTGATTCTGGACTCCATGAAGTCTCATGGCTTCAGGTTAAACATGGGCAAGGAAACCTGCTGATTACCACATACCATCCTCTTTCGGCTGATGAATCAGTACTCCTCCATGTTGAACACTTAGTGGAAGCACAGAAGATGGCAAGAGCACAAAATGTACTCTGGTTGGGGGATTTCAATGTCCACCACCAAGAGTGGCTCAGCAGCAGTACTACTGATCAAGCTGGTCGGGTCCTAAAGGACTTAACTGCTAGACTGGGTCTGTGGCAGGTGGTGAGGGAACCAACAAGAGGGAAAACATACTTGACCTCATCCATACCAATCTGCCAACTGTAGATGCATCTATCCATGACAGTATCAGTAAGTGTGACTATCGCACAGTCCTTGTGGAGCCGAAGTCCAGCCTTTACAAAGAGAATAATCTCCGTCGTGTTATGTGGCACTATCACTGTGCCAAATGGGACAGATTTTGAACAGATCTAGCAACTCAAGACTGGGCATCCATGAGGCGTTGTGGGCCATCAACAGCAGCAGAATTGTACTCCAGCACAATCTGTGACCTTATGGCCTGGCACATCCCCCACTCAACCATTACCATTAAGCCTGGGGATCAACCCTAGTTCATTGGAGAGTGCAGGAGGGTGTTCCAGAAGCAGCACCAGGCAAACCTGACAATGAAGTGTCAACCTGGTGAAGTCACCAAACAAGATTACTTGCATGCCAAGCAGCACAGGCAGCAAGTGATAGACAGAGCTAAGCAATCCCATAACCAACGGATTAGATCGTAGATCTGCAGTCCTGCCACATCCAGTTGTCAATGGTGGTGGACACTTAAACAATTCACTGGAGGAGGAGACTCCATACATATCCCCATCCTCAAAGATTGAGGAGACAGGCACATCAGTGCAAAAGATAAGTCTGAAGCTTTCGCAGCAATCTTCAGCCAGACGTGCCAAATGGATGATCCATCTCGATCTCCTTCAGTGGTCCCCAGCATTACAGATACCAGTCTTCAGCCAATTTGATTCACTCCACATGATATTAAGAAATAGCAAGAGACACTGAATACTGCAAAGGCTCTGAGCCCTGATAACTTTCTGGCAACAGTACTAAAGATCTGTGCTCCAGAACTTGCAGCTTCCCTAACCAAGCTGTTCTAGTAGAGTTACAACACCAGCACCCGACAATGTGGAAAATTGTCCAGGTATGTCCTGTACATAAAAAGCAGGACAAATCCAACCTGGACAATTACTGCTCTATCAGTCTACTCTCAATCATCAGTAAAGCGATGGAAGGTGTCATCAACAGTGCTATCAAACAGCACCTGCTTAGCAATAACCTGCTCATTGATGCCCAGTTTGAGTTCCGCCAGGGCCACTCAGCTCCTGACGTCATTACAGCCTTAGTTCAAAGATGGAGAAAAGAGCTAAATTCCAGAGGTGAGGTGAGAGTGACACCCGTTGGCATCAAGGCTGTATTCGACCCAGTGTGGCATCAAGGAGCCCGAGCAAACCTGGAATCGATGGCTATCAGTGGCAAACTCTCTGCTAGTTAGAGTCATACCTGACACATAGGAAGATGGTCGTGGTTGTTGGATGTCAATCATCTCAGCTCCAGGATATCTCTGTGGGAGTTCCTCAGGGTCGTGTCCTAGGCCCAGCCATCTTCAGCTGCTTCATTAATGACTTTCCTTCCATCATAACGTCAGAAGTAGGGGTGTTTGCTGATGATTCCACAATGTTCAGCACCATTCATGACTCCTCAGATACTGAAGCAGTCCATGTTCAAATGCAACAAGATCTGGACAATATCCAGGCTTGGGCTGACAAATGGCAAGTAACGTTCGCTCCATACAAATGCCAAGCTATGACCATCACCAATAAGAGACAAACTAACCACCGCCCCTTGACATTCAATGGTGTTACCATCACTGAGACCCCACTATCAACTTCCTGGGGGTTATCATTGACCAGAAACTCAACTGGACTCACCACATAAACAGAATGGCTACTAAAACCAGTCAGAGGCTAGGAAAATTGTGGCGAGTAACTCACCTCCTGGCTCCCCAAAGTCTGTCCACTATTTACAAGGCACAAGTCAGGAGTATGATGGAGTACTCCCCACTTGCCTGGATGAGTGCAGTGCCAACAATACTCAAGTAGCTTGACTCCATCTAGGACAAAGCAGCCCACTTGATTGAGCACATGCATCCACTCCCTCCACCACCAATGCTCAGTAGCAGCAGTGTGTACTATCTACAAGATGCACTGCAGAAATTCACCAAAGATCCTCAAACAGCACGTTCCAAACCCATGACCACTTCCATCTCGAAGGACAAGGGCAGCAGATATACGGGAACCCCCTTCAAATTACCCTCCAAGCCACTCACCATCCTGACTTGGAAATATACCATTGTTCCTGCACTGTCGCTGAGTCAAAATCCTGGAATTTCCTCCCTAATAGCATTGTGAGCCAACCCACAGCAGGTGGACTACAGTGGTTCAAGAAGGCAGCTCACCACCACCTTTTCAATTGCAACTAGGGACAGGCAATAAATGCCAGCTAGTCAGTGATGCACACATCCCATAAATGAATAAATTTAAAAAATGCTGTGTGGGGCTGGAGAGAAGCTGCCTGCTAGAAAGTTGGCTGTTCAGCCTAGCTGAGAGTGCAGATGAAGGAAGCCCAATAGCTGTATTTGATTGGGGGGATTGTGAAAGATTAGAGTTTAATGATACCCAAGACAGAGACAGTTCAACTTTGTTGAATTATTTGCCTGCCTCGTGAGCTTCATGCAGTCTGTTCAATCCAGTTGGGTGCACTGTTGGGTGGAAAAGTTGAGTGGCCAGATGATGAGCAGTCTCTGGAGCATCCTGTGTTTGAGTCCTATTGCCTGACAACATCTTGTAAACCAAAGAAGCAAGAGAGTTTCCAAGCTGAATAGGGGCTTCAATTGAGTTTCATGGCAAGCACCTCAAAAGTAGTTTTAAAATATTCTTACACGCAGTGATCACTCTCATCTGGGAGGATGGCTGAGCAATTCTTGAGATCTGTCTTGGTTGTACCTGCCACTCAATGTACAGTCTATTGGTTAATGAACTGCAGATTGACTATTAACACCTATTTATCTCATGTTAATTCTGGATATTAGAGTATAAATAATATGTACAAATATACTGAGGATTGTTTTACTTTTCTAATTTTGCACAGTAAAGCTTTTTTTTTGCTCAAAACTATTGAATCTTGTGGCTTTATTCTCCTAATCAGTATCTGGGATTCAAACTTTGTCTGCTTTAAACGAAAAGAAAGTTATTGGTTACCTAACAGATCATAACACAATTTAGCTATCTTGTCTGCGATCATAACAGGAATAATAGGTCAGTCAGTCAAACATCAGTAAGCAAAATGCTGGAAACTATTATTAGGAACATGTTACAGGCCACTTAGAAAGTAATAACGGCCTGACGATTTGATGATCAGATAGTGGTTACTGTAGTGCAGATTGGAGTTCTGTATCAGGGCCATGCAGAAATCTTGGTGCAGATGAGTTCAAGGCAATTGCCCAGGAAATTGAAATTTTGGACTGACAATTTTTATTTATTTGGAGCCCTCCAAAAATGCCTCTTAAGGTTGAATATGTCCCAACTTACTTAAGCTTAGTAACAAATCAGGAAAACTTAAAGCATTAAAAACCTGTTCTAACTCCAGGGTAACTCTTAAACTGAACATCAAACACACCACCTACAAATTTAACTATACTCGTCCCTAACCTTTGACAGTTCTGAAGGCTGCAATCCACACTCCTGACTCATTACATCCTGCCCTTGGTGATCTCGACATCCTCCCACTGACCTGACACCCTCTCTCCCCAGTATGACCTAAACCCGCCAGACCTGACAATCCCCCAACTCCAAACCAAAATGATTGGGTCAGACCCAGTTGGGCACTCCCCCTGGCTCTGACAGACCTGTCCACCACTCACTCCAGCCATACCCAATCTCACCACCCCCAACCCAACATTTCCACACTCAGTACAAATAACTGAATGCATGTTAAAGCATTTTTTGTCAGTTCAGCTACAGGAATCAGTAACTTAAATGGATCATGATTTTTGTTTCACAATAAAAAGTGACAATGTTTCAAATTAGACAACCTGTGGATGACTGCTGTGAGAGATAAATGCTAAAGACAATGATTTTCAAATAAGGTGATTGCTTACTATAATTGAGTTTGACCTTTGTGCTTTACATTCCTAATCAATCTAATGGTAATAGTCTGCCTCTAATATTTAACACTCCAGCTCAATGTGATGAGAATTCTAACAAATGAATATTTCACTATCAAAGGATTCAAAATTTTCCTTATTTTCCACTTTAACAATTCGAAAATCATTGCAAACAATCATAATAAGGATAATGTCTTTTTTTTTAATTAACTGATGTTTTTCAACAGATAGTTGCACAATTAGTAATTAAAGTTGAACAATATGTAGGGTTACGTTTAATTATAAATTGAATAGTTTTCAAACTAGGTTTTTGATTAGAACTGAATCATGAAAATGCAAATTTTGAAATTGATATTTTGGTTTGTATTCAAAAATGCCAGCTCATAATTGTTTCTTTTGTTAGCATTTGAATGTACCTTTGATTATTGTGTCCAAAAATAAATATTACACTTCATTTACATGCATATTTTGCATCTCATCTATGAGATAAACAGTGCTTCTTATTCTCAGCACAGAATAATATCCTGCTTAATTTTCTAATAGCTAATAGCTGTTTAAGAATGCATTGGGATTGTTGCATTTATGATCAAACTAGATGTGATGAGCATGTATTATTCAAGATCCAGCATCGTCAACACACTGCCTCTGTTACAGATTTGTTAACATATCTGTAGACACTATCTAGTGCATTCTGCCCACTGAAAATATTGTGATAGCATGAGAGAATGAGTTCATGTTTAGCTAACTCCATTGTTTTTAGTGTCAAGATCTTAAGAACTATCTGACCTGCACAATCGAATGGTCAATCAGTTGTCGAGAATCAGACTGTGTATGCTCTTGGCCAAGGTTGGTGGCGACAAAACTGAAACCTCGGAAGAGCTGATGTGTGTTGGCACTTGGAGGCACACCAGGTGAGTCTGTGAAAAGAGAATCAATAGATCAAGCCGAGCAGTTGATGCAGAAGAAAGAATAAAGTTCTACTGGGCAAGTCTTTTCAATGTGTTGTTCAACAGGATACTTATTAAGATTAATATTACAGACATAGAGTACATTTGGTAGAAGTGCCAGGCTAATTGTAGGAACTTCACACGCAGATTGACGCCAAAGGCTTGAACTGTGAAAGGTACTTCTTTCATAATCTCTTGTGATAGATTCTATAGCTAATATATTTCTGTATCTAGCAAATTGTTTTCTGCTGGGACCCTTCTTTGTAATTCTTCTGACCCAGGACATCTGATTACTGATTACCATTTAATTACTCTCACCCGCAGTATAATTTGGACTGAGAACAATTTGATTACTTCTAACATTTCTCAAGGACAAAAGATTACAAGTCTTCATGTGTTCACTCATTGACATGGCAACCTTATGATCGTGACACAGTTTACTAACAAATGCTAAGACTGGTGAATCTGAGCATTGCTTTTATATGTATGGCTGGGGAAGCAATTTTAATTCAATGTCATGCTAACAGTCGAGGAGTCCATGACTAGCTCCTGATTTAATTGGAATGAATTCGCACTACTTGAAGGGATATAATGTTCAGATTTATTTTAACAGTCAATGGCTTCAACTATGTGATTGCATGTGACTGAGCAACTAACAAACTCATATTTTACAGGACCATCCTGTAATTTAGTCTTTTGCCCTGTGTTCCAGTTCAGGCCTTTCCAGGTGTCCCAGTTCACTAGTGTCTCGATAAACTTTTACCTTGTGCATGCATTGGGTATGGAAGGGTGATGGACTGTGTAGAAATCTCTTTCTCTTTGTTCTTGTTATTTCCTCAATTTTTAAGATTGATAGTAAATCTAATTAGTTCCACTGTTGATTTGGTTTTCCTTTCCTCTCTGATGCTGTTTTTCTGTTTCTGCTTTGAGAAAACTGATACGTAGTAAATATTTGATGTTTTGCTATTTTTGATTTATGTTACACTGTCACCCATATCCCTCTTTAAGGGGCCTATATTTTAATAATACATTTGTTAAAGAAACTTTGTTTGTCCGTAATATTCCTTAGTTTCTTTTTTTCTTTATTCCCTGATCACTGAAGTTAATTTCTTTGGTTTAAATTTTCGCAGGTCTTGAATGATGTAGGCAATGGCAAGCCAGTAGGGAAATTACAGCGAGATCAAAAAAATGAGTGAAGTGCAGTGTCAGCCCAGACTGAGGATTTCCCATAACACTGTGACTGAAATCACAGAATTCTTTTTTGGAGCAGAGCATGTAATATTAAAAGGTGAGAGTGCCCATCCTATCCTGGTGCTGTCAACGTGACAGCTGCTTCCAGGGATCCACTGGGGACCTGTATGGAGTTTCTCAATCCTCAGCCCAACAAATATGTCAGGACTGTTACAAATGCAGTTTGTGCTGGATCACAACACTTCATTTTGTTTTCCTGTGACAAGGTCAGTGCTACTGTTCCGGCAGTAGGCTGTACCAATATAACTGGCCTCCCCCAGGCAGAGGGTGCTATGAACTGTACACATATCACACCGGTAGCACTATATCATAATGTAGCTCAGTTACATTCAGGGAAGGAAACTGCCATTCTTATCTGGTCTGACCTACATGTGACTCCAGAGCCACAACAATGTGGTTGACTCTTAACTGGTCTCTGGGCAATTAGGGATGGGCAGTAAATGCTGGCCTGGCCAGGCCAGTGATGCCCTCGTTCCATAAATGAATAAAAAATATTACATTGCATCATATTAATCTACAGCACAGAAAAAAGTCCCTTGGCCTATAGAGTCTACGTCAGTCAAAAACAAGCACCTGACTATTCTTGTACCATTTTCCAGCACTTTGTCTAGAACCTTCTATACCTTGGCATCGCAACTGCACAGCTACATACTGCTTCAAATGATATGAGCGGTTTTCCCTCTACCACCCTCATAGAGAGAGAGAGTTCCAGATTCTCAACAGCACCTGGATGAAAACAAATCCCCACATCGCCTCTAACCTCCTGCCCCTTACCTTAAATCTATGCTCCCTGGTCATTGATTCCCCACCAAGGGGACAAGTTCCTTCCAGTCTATGCTACCTATGCCCCTCAAAATTTTGTATGTCTCAATGAAGACCCCCCCAGATCTCTTCTGCTTGAAGGAAAACACCACAGTATATGCTTTCTTTCTTCATAGCTAAAATTCTCCAGTCGTGGCAACATCCTGCTAAGTCTCCTCTGCACCCCCTCCAGTGCTATCATTTCCCTCCTATGATGTACATTCTAGAACTGCACACAATATTCTAACTGTGGTTAGACTGCCCAAACATGCTTTAGGTCTCCAAGTCAGATGCAGTCTTATCCTTTTTGTTTATAACTTCCACAGGGTTGGGGATCATAGGCAGTGTGGAAGCACCATGCACTCTGGAGTATCCAGACAGAAGATTTCTAGGGGGCTTTTACGTAGTATGTCTTCCATTTGGGTGCCTGCTGACACCATCTTGTCTTCTTGTGAGGAAGTTGTGCCTGGACAGAGGCTGATGCTCCTTGATAGTGCCCTGTCATTTATGTTGACCATCAATAGCTATAATGGCAGGTCTGTGTATGCCTCCAGCAGCTAATAAGCATTCTGCTGGATATGACTCACCCGATGGCTGCCAACCCCTTCATGGAGATAGCTAGATTCATGTATGTGGGAGCCAGCACAGTGCTGGTCATGTTGATCTCCTCCAAGCTTTCTTAGTGTCTCCATAAATACGCTGCTGCTCCTTTGTCTCTTTGTTTTAATGAAGTTCTTAATGGTCAAGACCAAGGAGCCCTCTCCTCTCTGGGGCTGTGCAGGTGCCTGGTCTCAGCTGGTCTTCTGAGTGCTGGTGACCTGGCACATTTTTTCCTCAGTCAGCAACTGCTATGTGCCAGAGATCTACTCTTCAGACTCTGTTCTGGATAAAATAGCCACAAAGGTGTCAGCATTTGATTAGATGGAGAGTGCAGGAGACAGCCTTGATGTTGCATGCTCTGAGAGGTCTGTGATTTCTTCCTCAGGGATAGTGGTGGAGCGATATCTGGAGAACTTAGATTGTTTGAGATGGAGGTTGTACGGATGCCACTCAGGCTTGCGGAAAATGAAAGCAAGAGTAGGTTGTGAGAAGAACATGTTAGGAATACATTCATGTTATGGAAAAGCAGCGCAGCACTCGATAATGATTCCTACTTGGTTGCTGGGACATGGAAGTCTTGGCATCCCTGCATCAGTCCTCTCCCAAAAAAGCAAGGATTCTCTTATCACAGGGGGTCAATAGCTGAACGTTGGGTGGCTCACCAGGCATCTTGACCCGCTCTTTCCTATTATAGATAGTTTTCCCCTGGAATGAGACAAAGGTAGGGATTGAGTGGGATGAAAGTGACTGTCACAGGTTTTTAGTGTTGGTGCAAATGAGGGAAAGGTGGTGCAGAGTGCTGGGCAAGAGAGTTGACAGAGCAGAGGGCATGCAGGGTTCATAGTCTTTGGGGATAGGGTTGGTGTGAGGGATTGAGGAAGATGCTGCATGCAGTAGTGAGATCATGAACCTTGATAAGATTTGTGTGCCGTTGTAACATTAGCCTGAGTGTGAAGTAGCAGAGAGAATATGGTGGCACTTAGCACAGGAGGTCGTTAACCATCTTGTGGCATTGTTGGAAATTCCTCCACACCAGGGAAACCAACTGATCCACGTGCAAACTTCAATCAAGACTGGCAGGGTCTGGTCTGTGGTGTCTTCTGGCACTCCTAAGGAAAGAGGACAGCCCTCCCGAACATGACCCCATCCACCAGGACCTCCAGGTTTCTTTCAGTAAAGTAGGATGCCAGCTTGCATCAGCCATCTCTGGAGCAACTGTTCACTAAAGGGCAGTTCCTGGTTTGCAACACTTTACCTGGGGTGAAGCTTGGCTTCAAATATGACGTTGGTGGTGGGGACCTCAGGTTGTTCTGGCAGTGGCTAACACTACTGGTCCATGCAAGATATTGTGGGAATGGTGATGTGGATCATGCTTAATGAGGTGAGCAGCATAAAATTGCATGAGAAATTTTGCTAACGTTCACAGACAGTAACCTTCCATGAAACTCCCAAAACTGACACTTCACCAAATATGCCATATTCTTGATATCACCTCCAGTCCAAGGTATCGAGTGTTATTTCTTTTCTTTTGAATAAACCGTTTTCTTTCTCACTGCTCACTTCTTCTGTTGACCAAGGTTGTTCAATAAAATAAATATATGTAAGCTTTATTTTTAGGTGTTCGGTACTTTTACACGTTATCAGTTCTTCCAGTCTACTGTGGTCAATTTCTGCCTCACCTTTTCAAACTCAACCTTATCTTAGATTAAATATCTCGGTTGTGACTCACCTTTTTTCCTCTCAATCTGATATTCATTCCTATCATATTACAGTCACTGTTGGCTAGATGTTTACTCACTGTTAAACTATTATTTAATTAAGTTTTCTGATGCTCATTACTCATCACCAGATCTAATATGCCTGGTTTTATTGGTTCTTAATTGTTTCAGAAAGTGACTTGAATACAGTCAATAAATCGGTTGCCTTTGGGACTGAAGCTTTTTCTCACTGCTTCTGGGAAAATTAGAATTTCCTATTATAACTACCCTACCTTTGAAACAAATTTCTCTTAGCTAGTCATATTCTGATGGTTTATCTCAACTGTCAGGAAGCCTGCAGATCAGTCCCAAAATCTTAATTTTTTTCCCTATTCCTCAATAGAATAGAAACAATCTTTTAAAAATCATTACCTTGTACCATATACTGGTAGAGGTGGCAAACATAATAAAGCACAAGAGTGGTCATCTGGGAAATACGCATTAGAAAAATGATACCACAAGGTCAAATGTCTAGGCCAAAGAAAGTAATTTTGTTGAATTTGAAACCTCCACTGCCAAATTTGTTGAAAGTATTTGGAGCCATTTGTTTTATGTTGTTGG